CATACAGTATGCAGTACATTTTTACTGCTATGCCATTTGCCCAATAGCTAATAATTTGAAAAAAAAATGTGCTGATTCTTCTATGTACATGCAAGATATTAAAGAGTATATTGTTGCAAGTATCAGAACATAAAACTAAGGGCAATATGGAAATACTTCAGTTAAGTAACAGTGAAATGCAATCAGGTTGTTTTTGAATAAATTGGTGTTATTGGTATGCTTACTGTCTTCCCTAAGGAAAGCTGTTTGTGTGCATAACACATACATATGTACCCATCACACCAGTCCCTTTCAGAATAAGCAATGTTATGTAAAGAGCAGAAAAGGAGTAGGATATAGTAAGCCAAGGAAATTAAGGCTTGAGCTAAGGAAAAAAAGAAAAAGAAATATAGCTAAATCCAGTTCACATCAATGTCATTCACTACACCTCTCCATACCATTCTATCCTTACAAACCGTCCTTGTCTCGATGTACGTACAATGTTTAATACACTTACCTTTTCTTTTTTAGATTTCTCACCTCTCTCATTTTGAGGACCTCATCAACTCCATCCACCTTTTTCAGTCTTCCTTTTCCTCTCAACCCATTCACTCTTCCTTCATATATTTGTTTCATGATTCGATCCTCATTTGTTCTCACTATACAACCAAATCACTCCAATGTACTTCTTTCACATGGACACTCATTTCTGTATGCAGTACATATTCATTCAGCACTCATTTATTCTTGACCCTATGTCTTCTTGTTCTAACACACACACTTCTTAAGTACTGCATTTGCATATCCAATGAAACCTACAATGTCATTTTCTCTCTCACCTCTATAGGTGGTATGTGTCTTCCTCAATTTCAGGTTCTCTACCAGAGGCCTGGGAGTTTGAGGATTCTGCACAGTATCTTAGCTGTTCCCAGCTGTTCCTAGCATTGAACTCTTCTGGACAGAGAGCTCTGATGTTGTTCCTGGTATATGTACGTATGTATGTGTGTGTCTGTGTGTGTTATACACACACACACACGTGTGTGTGTCTCTGTGTGTATACATACAGACATGCACTTTTTTCATTTCATTCATTTATTCATGGTTTTCACCATTTACTATTGTTTACATTCAAAGTCACGACCTTCTAGATAACATTGTCATGAAAAGATAGGCCCGCAGATCCTTCTGCTGCCCATCATGTTGTTTACATAAAGCTTTTTAGTAATTTAAAGGTGTAGATTAAGTTACCCACATTAGTCACCCCCATGAGACATGCAGCATTTCCTGCTATTACTAAGGACAGTGTGTATTCTTTGTGTATGTGAGTTCCACATTTCTAGAATTAGAATCTTGAAATGCACATGCATTCATAATTAGTTAATGAATTGTACAATAATGTTGCATAAATAAATTAAGAAATAGGTCTGGCATCCCAATATTAAGACCAGCATTCCCCAACTTAAGTTACTAGAGGTTGTTGAATTACTGTAACCATCATTTCTACTCAGCAACAGCAGCGGGCAGGAAACTTAGTTTATAATACAATAGCATCTGGAAACTGAAGTCTGCAAAAAGACTGACTTAATACCAGTAGAAAATGTATGTTATATTATGACAAAGGTGAAGTTGGTTAAGTTTGTTAATGGACACTTTTCCATAGCTTTATAATACACACTATTTCATTTAATGGTTTAGGGCTGTTTAGAATTTCCTTTAATGATTCGTAGGGTGAGTCATAAGGCACAGAAATATCGTTGCATTATTCAGGTTCCAGAATATGCAAATACTTTAAAATTTAGCATTATTAAACACATGAAGCATAACTGGTATTTCATGGAACAGAAGAAAATTATAAATAAGGAATTGTCTTCAGGACATCTCTAGCTGAATTATGAAATATATAAGGCTTAGTTCATGTGTCTGATAAATGTACTTCTTGGTCTGCCTTACCAGTGAAATTTCCTCCTATGACATATGGAATAACACCTCCTGGCCATATTCTTTCTGTGCGCGATGTAGCTGCTCGGGAAAATCTTTTTCTCTCATAGCTCCCTGAGAATGTTAGAGCTGTTCTTCCCTTTGTTTTATTATTTTGTTCAAAACCTGCAATGACACTTATGCTGTAAAATACCATTCTTAACACTTAGCTAACAGTAACATTTTCTTCAGATAAGTTAGCTTTTTACCCTTATATACATACAAACTTTGCATTATGGTGCATATATATGACTTAAGAAATACATAACATGAATTACTAACAGCTCAGTGCTAAAGAGCTATTTATCATAAAACCAGCATTTTAAATATTCACTTTACTGTCCTCCTGTCAGCCCTGCTATGCTGATTCACCCTTTGTACTGTAAATATCTCCTCCTGCTGCTTTTTCCTTAACTGTCATTTAAATAATGTGCCAATGACTCACACCAACACTAACTTCTTTAACTAAGAAGTTATTTCTTAGTTAAATGATGGGAATTTTGTAATGAATACCTCTAAAACTATAATAGTTATTTTATTTTGTAGACAGAATTTATTTTCAGATATTTAATATGAAACAAGATAAATGAAACTGATGTTTTTAAAAATATACAATTGCTTTTAAATGTTTGTCTGCTTTTCTAAAGTTAAAAGTTTTGTAATTCCAATGCATGTGGAATTCTGAAGCCAAGAAAACCTTCACATGGTTCTGGATTATATTTCTTTACTGAACTGAATTAAGCTGATATGCAGAAGAAACTTTTCTAGAAACTGACATGCAGATTGGACTCAGGACAAATTTCACAGCACCTTCATTAAGGCTTGTCAAATTTACCAACTGTGGACTCCTTTTACATTAGCTATTGCAAAATGCAAAAGCTAAGGCTGCTACAGCATGTATGGCAGTAATAAACATAGTTAACTGCCATGCATCAACCTTCGCTAGAAAAATACATACATGTTAGCAAATATGGGAATAATAAGTAATAATCAGAGTTATTTGTAAGGAAAACTATGTTAAAAATTAATGGACGTTAGGGCTTCATTGCTATTAAACAAAGCATATTTTACAGGAAAAATGAGGAGGGAAAAATTTGGCTAGGTAAATTGCCTGAGGTAAAAACAGGGCTATTTACACTATGTTAAAAAATATACTGCAGAACATACTCTAAATTTGCATGATAACAACTGAGATGTTTAGAGTATGAATATATTCTATTTTTTAATTACTGTGAAATCTGACAGCAGATAGTATACAAGTATATTAGGCACTTGCATAAACTGGATTTAGACCATCCCTAAAATCTTTTCATTATTGGTATTCACAATTACATTATCTACTTACTGTCATGGCTACTTAGAGGTTGGACCAAGAAAGGTATGGAATGTCTTATATTGTATGCAGCGGTGAAGCAAAATTAAGTAGCTTGCCCATACCTGACTCAATTCTTCTTATCCTGTCTATAAGCTGATAGAGAGCACTGCTTTTTTTGGACACCTCACGTTCTTCAAAGCCACCTTTTAGAAGAAAACAAGTAAATGAAAAATTGCATGCATGAATTTAGCCAATGTATTTACAAAAAGTATAGGAAAGGTATGGAGACTTTTTAAATTTATATTATTCAATTACCATCTAAAAAAACTTCCTCCTCACCACAGTGATCTTGAATATGAATGATAAATTACGATTTTTTAAAAAAAAATGTCATTTACATGCTTGGTCAGGTACAGGTATCCAAATCCACTGAATAAAAGCCTTTATAAAGAATGTAAGGCAGTTTATTTGAATGAGATGCATTTGAAGGTATTAACATATGAACTGTTTTCAACTGTAATAAATCATATATAAATAGTAACTCCAATGCCACAATTTGAATGAGGTGCTTTAAAAGCTACTTACAGGGACAGGGGACTTTTTTCCCCAGGATTCACTGTTTCATTTATAGGCTGTCAACAAATGCTACATTCTGTTTGCTTATCTACTGCAATGTTTGTGACAGAGTAACATTAAATGAGTTAATAACATAACCAACTAAGCCAGAAGCTTAATTTTGCTGTTATGCATTGAGGTTAAGACTGTGGCTACCTCAGGCACAATGCTATGCATGGCCATCTATGACAAATGGAGCTTTTGTCAAAATGACAACTTACGCAGTTCTGCCCCTTACATGCTTGGATGCAACATCATGTTGGAAATACAGAAGGAATAGAGTTTGCATCATGATGCATATTTTGTCATTTGTACCCCCTTGTGGATACCTATGACATTATACAAACAACATTTCAAGCAGACAATATGGATTGGTCCAGGAGACACAAACTGGATTATTTAAGTGGCAAGAAGGAATGGATTTTCAGAAGTTCTGGCCAAAATGTTATAACCAAAAAAGATCATTTTAATTGGCTGGAGATTGAAGGTTGATGTTTGACAGAAACATTTGCAAGTTTGGTGACAGAACTGAGGGAAGCAAATCTGAAGATGAGGGAAGACTAAAACTTCCAATCCAAGAATCTTGTGGAAGAAACCTCCTAGTTAGTTGAAGCAAATGTGAAGCTATGTTGGAGGTGTGTAATGAAACTTCAAGGGGGGAAAAAAAGCAGTTCACATCATTGTTACTGGTATGAAGGCAGAGAAAAAATATCATACGGCATCTATTCTTGACTATGGGCCTTTCCAATACTAAGTTAAATTACTATCTATCCATCCTTGAATCAGCAAAAAAAAAATAAAAAAAAATCAATACTTACGTGATATTTCCCATTCCCACTGCTAATCCCTATCATGTACTGATTCTGTTGTAAACCACTCCATAGTGATGAGGTGTTGAATTTTGCATATGCTGCTTGTGATAAGCAAAGTGTTGGTTTAACCCTCTGGCTTTATTGCACCTCACCAAGAGACAGATAATCCTCCAAGAAGCACAGCAATGCAGGAGAAATCGGATGCTTCTAACTTTAGGACTCAATCTATCTTCTCTAGGCAGCTTTGGATGTGCCCCTCCCATATTTCATTTTGTCACAAGTTTGATAAAGTGCTTAAAAAGAATGGAAAAGAATGGATTCACAGAGGGAGGTGAATCCTCGGCAAAAACTTCCTTGGAAACAGCATTTTCATTCAGGATTTTTCTCCCCATCCTATTCTTTCATTGATGTGCTATTCAGCCTTACCTAATACTGGGAAATACCTTAGAGTGAAAGCAAACTAGAGTGAAAAGACCTCTTGTGTGCACTCACTGACACAGGGCTGGTTCCCGCTCTTACTTTCTGTGTATATGTAAGTAAAGTCTCTATCAAGCCAAGTTAGCCCTATGGACACATGTAGTTTTCTTGGCAACAATACATGCTAAAAAGTTTACTTGATATTGAACACTGTTGTATTTTTACAGAAAGAAAAGCAGAATGGCCACTGAAGAGGCTGACCAGAGGGGAAAAGGAGTGTCTGCATCTGCCTTAACAAGCAAATAACCATCTCTTTGATTATATCCACCACTGGTCACCTGATTTGACTCCTACACATGAGGAATTTGACTCCTACTTCACCATTCTCTGAAAAGGTATGTTCCCCCTTTTGGATGTTTACTTTTTCACACTGACACATCGGATGTTAGATGACTTTGTTTATGAAAAAAAGTATGAAACAAGTTCCAAACATTTCTGTTATTTGTTCAGTTGGACTCCCTTTATCTCTACATCAAGTAGGATCCACATGATGTTCTAATAACATCTGCCCGTTCCATCAGATCCAGCGAAAGAGGTATGCTGCAGGTCCCGTTTGCCAGGGAGCTACACTTGGCAGGACCTAGGAGGTGGGTCCTTTCTGCCATGGCACCCACCTTATGGAACATCACCCCCCCCCAAGTGAAGTTGGCTCCACCCCTGTTAATTTTCCAGAAGTCCCTCAAAACTTGGTTATCCATCATAACCTAGGGGCCCCAAGGGACTGGTGAGTTACTGAGGTGGCTCCATTGCGGTTAATATCTGTTGCCCTCTCTTTGCCTTTTAATCACAATTTTTAAATTTTCTGGATTTGTTAATTGCTTTTATATTACTGTTTTATAGTTTTTATTGTATGCTGCCCAGAGTCACTTTTCGTGAGATGGGTGGCTATATAAATATGATGAATGAATAAATCAACAAACAAACATTCAGGGGCAAAAACATTCCAAAATTTGAAAAATTTAAAGGGGTGAATACTTTTTCACAGAACTGTTTTATACACTTTAAGGATGTTATTAGACAACATCAGTATAAGGGGAAAATACAACTTGAATACTGGAATAGCTAATCAGGATTTAATGGAGTTACACTGATGGGTTGGGGATGACGTGTGGGTAAAGTCATAGGTACCAGAAGAGAAAATTGCTAAGGAACTATTATGGTGCAATTATATGCAGATAAGGAGATGTCCTATGATGAATTTGGCTTATGTGAAATTTAGGGAAAAGGTTGAGGAAAATTAAGCATGTATTAATTACTTAAATAATTATAACATATTTTGAAAAGTGACCTTATAATCCCTTTTGTAATTTTCACTTAAAAGCCTAATTCTTTTCATCTAGTAAACAACTTTAATGGTGATGTCAACTTCATGCCTATCTTATTTGTTGGTGACAGCAGTGAAGGTTTGAATAGCTTAACAAACATTTTCTGTGAGGTCTATTTGACTGTGGCAAAGAATTCCATAGAATAAATCATGAAGTTTAAGCATGAAGGGAACAACTATGTTCTATTTTATATGGTACTAGAAGTCGTGTAACTCACTGGATTCTATCACACTCTAACAAAGAACACTTTTCAGGTAATACTGTATATAGTACTTACACTCATTGCACTGCTTCTTTTAGCACTTGACTATGTTTGGAATTTTTTTTTTGTAATTGCACTCAAAGCTTTACATTATGTTGCTTCTAACTAATGATACTATGTACTTCCCACAAGCAAGTTTAATTGCCATTTGTAAAAAGATTATGAATGAATGTTAAATCACTGCTCTTGCAGCCTAAGAAACCCATAAAAATAAAGCTCATTTGCATGCTCATTCAAAAGCGAGGCCCATTGAAATCAATGAAAAATAGGCTCGTTATTTCAGTAATTCCTCAGATTCTTTCAACATGTAATCTTCATGTAATCTTCCTAAATGACAGTGTCCAAAGGGTTATAACAAAGTGCACAGTGCCATATAAGGCAAATGTGTTGGGTGACTGCTGAGTAATCTGCCTAATGATTTGCCTTCCACTGTCACACCACTGCAGCAACCCTTGAGAAAAATTTTTTGAATTTCTTCTTAGATTTTAGAAGGATGAAGTAATATGTTAAGACATTCCTACCCTATGAGCTATTTTGTCAACTGCCCAGAATGCAAATACTTATTGCTCAGTGATGCAACCATCTTTCAAAGTAAGATTTACCAGGAAGTAACCTATTGAATTCAATGGTCCTTCTCCAAGGAAGTAGATATAAGAGTGCAACTTAAATAATGCTACATTTGTTCCAAATTATATTACATTACTATGTTATCTAGTTTTCATTTATTAAAAAAATTATCATACTTTTTCTTTCTACAAGTAAAATGATTAATACAAATTCTAAGCATTTTCCCTGGTATTTCTATTCATGACATAGTTGTAAGAAATGTAACTTTGACCTAAAGAAAAAAAATCTGTTTCATCTGGAGGTGATCATACATTTTTCCTATGTAAAACATGAAGGAAATTAATCTACTAGATAAGATATATTGTTAAAGGTATCGGCCTGACTATATCATAACTTTAAGATGTCTTTGAATCAAAAGCAGAAATGCAAATATATATAAACAAATATAATTATTTCCCAGACTGCATGGTCCCATCAGCAAAGTTAGTCTCTGAATCAGCCCAAAGCTAAATATTCATTGAGAAAGAAGATGGCACCTATTAAATTATAGGTGCCATCTTCTATAGGTCCTAAACTATATTTAGGATCTTATTAAATCAGATCCTAAATCAGATCAGGTATGCTACTAATTAAAACAACAGGTAATCTTAAGAAAAGTTAAGCAAAGATGATAGGGCACTATAAAAGTAGTCTACTCACTATCTTTTAATTAGGTTTTTTTTTTTAACCGTCTCTTTAAAAATGTATTGAGTACTTGGGAAAAAGAGTTTACCTATTTTTGAACTGGAAATTAAAACTATGCCTCTTAACTTTGGACTCCTATTCAGATATTAGTAGATGAGGATGCGGGTGTCCATGAAGTGAATGGGAGAAAAGCTGGGAGAACAGGAAAGTGTTTGGTTCAATTCTACATTGTGTGCATTCTACCAGACAAAAATACAATGCTGTAATGTGAGCTAAAGGACAGAAATATGAAGACGTCAGGCTGTGACTCACAGCAAAAGTAAGCAGCAGGACCTACATAAGAGGACCACGGAGGAAGGGAAAAGAGAATAAATCAGAAACACAGAGAACCAAGAGAAGCAGCGTGCCTCCCCCTGCTACCAGAATCCTTTCAGGAGTCCTGACGGTAGCCAAAACCACTACTGGGATTCTAAAACAAGTACACCAAGGACATGAACATGTGAAGTTAGTTTTTATTTATAGATAACAATAACTCTTACAGCTAAACTTTCACCGTAGCTGAAAATGGAGAAAATGCTGCTGAAAAGCAAGGGATATTAATATTGCAGTCAAAATATAGGCATAAATACAAATTATTTAAGAAAAGGTGTATGTGTTTGTGTTTCCCTGAACTTGCTTTTTAATAGCCCAATTTTGTGAAAAAGCTTTCACTTGCCATATTGTGGGAAGAAGATAGAAAACGAAGGATTATAAACGTTTGAATGACAGCCACTTTTCACACACGGAGTTTTTCCTAGGTTCGTTCGTTCGTTCATTCATTCATTCATTTATTTATTTTTGATAGGTGTTTTGAGAGCTTTTTTGTATGATTTTGAACTGCTTATAAATGTTTAAGGATTTAACTTGGTAGTGCTTTATTGTATTTTGGATAAAACTAAGTATTTGGATAATCCAGGAGATTATTCCCTCTGTACCACCAGATCTAAATAGTTACAACATGAAGTCTTCTTTCCTTCATAGTTATCTTTCTTTTAATTTAAAAATACCTATTAGTAATCATGTTGAGAAATACAATGCTGATGTAATCGTTAGGTCCATAATCAGACAGTCATGGGTTTTGGATTATAAACTCTTTTTTGAGACTCTGGCAAAGCATTGCTTTTTAATTCCTAATACTGCAAACTTAATTTATGAGCATTTGCAAGAAACATATGTTCTTATGGACAATCTTATTAATTGCTCATCTGCAGTGAGATACCTCCCACCTCACCCCCAAAAAGATGCTATGGATGCTTCATCTCTTGATCTCTGAAGGTCAGTGCACTAATCAAGGCAGAAAAGCAGCTCAGACCATTTCATCCTGCTGAGAATTGTAGTGGGACAAGAAAAATACGTAGTAATTTTTCTCCAGTAGAATATTTCAGCTGAAGGCCAGTCCTAAAAGAGTTTCACTTAATGGTAATTTTATTAAATATTACAATTCGAAAGTTAAAACTAATACAAACTAAAAAAGAAAAGAATAAAGAATAGAAAGTACAGAAAAAATAGAAAGAAAAATAGAAAATAAAGAAAAATAATATAGTAAGGAA